TTTGGGGAGCCCCCCCCCTGCGTCTAGGTCCCCAAAGCAATTTGACACCCCCCTGAAGTGTTTTAGGACCCCCCCCGTGGTGTTTTAGGGCCCCCCAAGCTGGTTTTGGGGTTTCCAGGGTGGTTATGGAAACCCCAAAGCAGCTTGGGGCCTCCTCCCCAAAGTGATATCAGGCCCCCCAGGTGTTTTAGGGACCCCCCCCGGGTGATTTTGGGGTCTCCCTGTTCTCTTTCAGGGACGTGGCCTGGCTGGGGGACTGTGACAGTGGGTGCCTGGCTCTGGCCGAGCTGCTGGGCTGGAAGGTATCACCCTGACCCCCAAATCTGGGCGGTTCTCCTGACCCCTGCACCCCCAAACCCTGCTGGGACCCCCCAAACCAAACCACTGTCCCCTGCCAGGAGGAGCTGGAGGAGCTGGTGAGGAGGGAACACGCCGCCATCGACGCCGGGGGGGGCAACAAGGATCGGGAGGATCCTGAAAACCCTCGGGGGCACAAGGAAAAGGGGGACCCCAAACAGCGTCAGGGGCACAAGGACGAGGCTCAGAGGGACCCTGAAAAGCCCCAGGGGGGCAGCGAGAAACCCCCCCAGAGCAAGGGGGACACACCCCAAAAATAAATGGTCTGAAAAGAGTTTATTGGTTTCATCTGGTGAGTGCGGAATACGGGAGTCAAGGGCCTGAGGGTATTTCTTGCAGGAAAGAAAGCCCTTAACCGTCAGGGTCTCAGATACACCAAGTGCAGGTGAGAGACGGAGGCTCAGGGCTTTCTTTCCTGTGTGGAAGGGCAGTTGTTTGCTGGCCGGCACTGCAGGGGGAGGTCCGAGGGCCAAAACTGAATACGGACGAAGATTCCTCCCAGAGCGAAGGAGCACCAATTACAACCAAATTACCCCGTTTAGAACAGAACCTACAACATTACACCTGCCTGCCAGAGACTGCCCTTCCCGGCCAGAAAGAAAGGCCTGAGCCCCCGTCTCCCACCTGCCGTTGGTGAGCCACTTGGCACTACACACCCTAGCTGGAAAATAAAAAACAAAAATGCACAACATAGAGGACTTCTATGTGTAAAATTGACATCTTTCATCCAACACCTAAGACAACCTTCCTCCTAGGCTGCTTCAACGTGTCTGGGTCTGCCCCACCTTTCCCTCCGCGAACCCCCCTTGCCCCCCCTTTCCCCCCCAATCCCCCTCCTGACCCCCCTTTCCCCCCCC